AGCCTCACACCAAATTAAACATTTTCATTTTAACAATTAAAAATTAAAGTGACAATACATATCATTTGATCATGGTTAAGTAATAAATATTAGGGGCGACTCAATATAATTGGTGGCCTAATACCAAAATTTAATAAGAGGCTTTAGATTCATTTTTTAAAAATAAAATTCATATACGGAGTACTATTTTTCTTTTTGAAAATTATTTTCTAACTTCTTGAGAAGCAAAGTAGTTAATTAACTTTTATGTTCAATTTACTTCTAATATGCTTTTTTCATTTAGAGACTTGTTTAAAGAACACTTTCTATATTTTTTTGATTTAGTTTTTATTATTTGTCCAAAATATATCAAGAACATATATTCCGGTAGAGGGCATCGAAAAACAGTTTCAGCAATCAAGGCTCTTTAGTGTTCCCCTCTAAAATACTTTATGTCAAACACAATTCGATTATCTCCAAGATTGTTAGCTTTATTGTCATTTCAGCCCATCGAGGCCTGTTATTTTGCTTCGTTTATAATTTATGTTATTATTGCTAAAGACATAATTTTTATATATATATAAGAGCAATAAAAAAGTGAGGTGGCACTCTCTTTGACCAAGAAACTCACTTATCTTTTTTTTCTTTTTTTGGGCTTTTCCTCTAATTTTTTATTAAGTTTAAATATCTTATTTTCTTTGTTCCAACTTGGAGAATTTAAAATGTTGCAACTTGCAACAATTAAACTAACGTTACAACGATTGAATTGATACTAAAATGGGTCATTAAAGTTGCAACCATTGAATTGAAATAATGAGTCGTTAAAGTTGCACAAGTGCCTCTTGGCTTGCAGAATAGTCTTTCCATATTCCAAGCTTAAGTTTTAACTTTCACAAAAAAAAATGTATATATATATATATATATATCCGATAGTTTGTACGTTATTATGTTGAGTTGATTGCATCTAAAAGTCAAAAGAACTTACTACACTTCTTGAGAAATATCTACATCTGAAGATCTGAAGAATTGGGAGAAGATAAGGCAATAGCTGAAGAAGAGAAGGCGCTTGCTTAACAGAAAAAAGAAAACTAACGAGGCAGCGAAACTGGTATGGGTTTACTACATCTTCTACATCTATTTTGAGTCTCTTTTCTTTATAAATCAAAATGTAAGACTCTCTTATGAGTCATTCTATATTTCACATGTTTTCCTTCCTCATTCTCATCAGTACATCCCAATGAGCAGTTTATGTCACTGTAATAATATCAGAGATAATAATACATCGACAAATTGTATCATTTTATTAATTTCATATTTTTTGACAAATGAATGTGTCTTTAATTTGATGGTTTTTGGTTATTTAACTTTTGGGGGGAAGAAACATAATTAGGCAATATTTAAGAAACTTTTACATAAACCTAGCAGAGTAGGTAATTAACATAAATGACAACTAAATAATTATATTACTTAATAAAAACCTATAAACCTGGACCGAGAATCACGTTCAAGGAAATCCAAATCGATCTAATTCCTAAAATAATCAAGCTGACAAGATTCACGGAACAAACAATCTTAAACGTTTGCTTCCTATTTCTTTGCTAGGTAATATTTTCAAGAGAATATGTTACAACTTTGACTGGTGGTGCTTATATGTTTTATATTTAAATGGTATATGTGATAAAATATGTAATAGTGGTATATATAAAGTATAATACACATCTATAAAGAAGATTTATGGTATATTTTGTTTATTTACATATTATGATGTGTATATATATGTGGTATAAAATACATATAAAAAATATATATCACATATTGATGGAATATTTACATTATAAATTATCACAATATAATATACTTAAAATATATTAAAGGTATATTCTGGGTAAAAAATAAAATTGTACAGCAAAAAGTTTAAAACGTAAAGAAAAAAATACTAAAATTCTCATTGTGCAACATCGTTAAAGTGGGGATTATTTTTTAAATATTCTTTTTTCAAAATCTTTGATAAATTTGGATAAATGTTATTTATGGAAAAGAAAAAAAAATATGAAAGAGAGGGAAAAGGAAATGTAATAGTAAAAGTGTATTGATATAGAGGGATCCCTTAGTTAATGAGTGACCAACGTTGAAGTGCTAAAGAAGTAAAAAAATGTGTCAGTTTTGAAATAAACAAAGATTACTATCATTTATGAGAATAGTTATTAAAAAGGGAGCATCCATGTAAAAATCTCAATATGATATCGTGAGAGGTGGAGTAGAAAGGAACTTTACCAAGCCAATAGAGTGACTTATTCTTGCAACAACTTTATTCTGCCTGGGTTATCTTTTTGTCTAAGGGCTACTTGAAGTGCTTGCCTTTGTCATTGAAGAAGAAGTTCACTACATGCATGTTTGGCGCAGTATTTGATTATGAGTGATGGTGAAGAAAAAGAAGAAAGAAAGGAAAAGAAACTCCAAGTTTTAAAAAGAAACTCCATGTTTTAAAAATGAAGGGACGAATGAATAAGTACTCAAGTAAGAGAAATACATTTAGTTGATTCTTTTTTTTCTTCAATTTCTTTTTATTTTTAATTTTTAATTTTTTCTATCCTTCTCTTTTTACTTCTTTAATTAATTTTTATTTGAGAGAATTGAAAAACTGTTAACTATATGAAACATAGATATGAACAATTACTACTTCGTAAAAAATAAAAAAAATTAAGGAAAAGAAGCCTTGGAGAAAGAAAAGAATGCAAACGATATCATAGATTCATATTCCCCAATTTTTGTCTTATCATTTTGTCCCATTAATTGTTTTATATATATAATATCTAAACAAAATCAAGAAAAGATTTTACTGTAAAAATAATTTATATAGTGTTTTAAGAGAATCATGAAAAGAGAGAAAAGGTTATAAAAGCATGTAAAAATGGTTTATTAGTAAACATTATTTGCTTATACAAAAATTATAACATTACTTTTTTATGATTTTTTTTATTTTTTTATAACCGAGCAAAGCACGGGCAAATACACTAATTTAGTAAATAAACGTCTGCTTTTTCTAACCATTCAAGTCTTAAGATGAGATGGTCACACTTTTACATGGTATCACACCTGATAGAGGCCTTGAGTTCAAGTCTTGCAAACTTTTAAATGAGATAATCACACAATTCGACAATTTCATGTAAAGTTATGAACAACTCTAAAAACGGCATAGCAGAAAAAAGACACAATGCAGCAAACTAAGTACTCCCTCTTCTTCAATATAGATGACACAACTTTCTTTATTAGCCCGTTCCAAAAAGAATGACACATTTCTACAATTAAAAATAATTCAACTTTAACTCTTTATTTACTCATTTTACCCTAATAAAAAACTTTTATAGCCAGAACATTCCGCTAATGAAAAATTTTTATAACCACACAAATGTTATAGCCCCACAAAGCTTTTACCCCTCAAGCTTTTAAGACCACAAGTTTCAAAAACTTCTTTTTTTTTCTTACTACCTTATCTAAATTGAAACGGAGACGGAAGGAAGTAATATGGTAAAAGCAAGCACTTGGAAGTTGATAGTGATATTCTCTAAAATACAACAACCACCCAGTAAAATTTCACTAATAGGGTCTGGGGAGGATAGTGTGTACGCAGACCTTACCCCTACTCCAAAGGAGTAGAGAGGTTGTTTCCGAAAGACCCTCGACTCAAAAAACAAAAAAGACAAAAGGACACAAAGGAAGACGATATTAGTATCACAACAACAATCATAGGATAAATAGGAACACCATGAAATCTAGAAGAAAGATGCAAAGCAAAGGGAGACAATATTAGTAAATATTAGTATCACCACAACAGTCATTAGAAAAATAGGAACACCATGAAATCTTAAAGAAAGATGCAAAGCAAAAGCGATAGCTAGTAAATACGACATGCACTGAAAACCAAAATAGTAAGCCACAACATTCCCACTAGATATCTTAGACAAACCCTACATGGCTAGTCCCACCATGGTACGAAGTAAGGCACGACTCAACTACCTCCTAACCTACAACCCTAATACTCGACCTCCACATCTTCATATCAAGTGTCATGTCCTC